ACATTGGTTAATAGGATCATATAGGTTTCAAGTGTATATTTCTGTGATACAAGATCTGCATATTGCATTCTGGGCTCACCACCCATAGTCAAACCATCTTCCATCACCATATTTTAGGCCCCCAGTTACTCCCACCCCCACCCCTTTCCCTCTGGGAACCACCATACTGTTATCTGTGTCTATGAGTTTCAGTTTTGTATCCCACATATGAGTGAAATCATATGGTTCTTTGCTTTTCCTGACTTCTTTCACTTAGCGTAATATTCGCAAATGGCAGTATTTCATCTTTTCTTGTGGCTGAGTAGTATTTCATTGTAAGTTTGTACCACATCTTCTTCATCCAGTCCTGTATCGCAGACACTTTGGTGGTTTCCATGTCTTGGCCACTGTGAATAATGCTGCAGTGAACATAGGGGTGCATATGTCTTTACAAATACATGTTTTCGGGTAGATACCCAGGAGAGGGATTGCTGGGTCATAGGGTAAGTCTGTTCTTCATTTTTGAAGAACCTCCAGACTGTGTTCCACGGCGGCTGTCCCAGTCGGCACCCCACCAGCAGCGAATGGGGTTCCTTCCAGAGAGGCGCTTCTTCAAGGAGAGGGTTTCTCCCTCAAGCCGCAACCCTATTTACTTGTTTTGGTTTCTGACGTCTGTTTCTTTTCCTCCCTTCATCTCTCTCTCTCTCTCTCTCTCTCTCTGTCTCTCTCTCTCTCTCTCTCTCTCTGTCTCTCTCTCATCAGCAGGAAGAACATTTTTGATCTTATCATTTAGTACTTCTTGTGTTTTCTCTGAGGACCCGATCTGCACTTTCTGACCTGCAGTCATAGATCAGAGAGCGGGGACACAGAGCAGATGTGGGGACGTGGAGAGGGTGTGGGATAAGGTGGGGGACTTAGTGCCTGATGGCCCGGCGTTCACATCCTGGCTCTTCCTTCTACTGACAGTATTGGCTGGGACAAGTTGCCCGACCTTTGCAAGTCTCAGTTTCCCCCCCTATACAATGGGCCCGCCCTACCCAGAGTTGTTGGGATCCTGGTGTAACATTGAGTGCAGTGCCTGGCCTGAGGGAAGTGCTCACTTAGCTGCTGCATTGTTGCTATGGTGATCATTCATTCAACACGGATATAGATCACACTGCCAACATACACATGGTTCCTACCACCATGGGCCTCATGCTCAGGTGGGAGAGAGAGATACTAAGCAAATAAACAACTAAGGAGAAGATTTCAGGTGGTCATGAAGCAACTGTTCCAGCAGTGCGCTGGTGAATGCTTAAGACCAGTTCTTGAGGATATAAAAACGAGCCCAGTTTTTAGCCCTTGCCCATTTTTGTGGTGTAAATATTCCCACCGTGGCTGATTTCAAACTACCAAAGTGATATCTGCTGGCTCTTAAAATTCCTAGAAATTTAACAGTTGTTTCTTGCAAGGCTGAAAGAGCTGGCTCCGGCGCTGGATGTATGTAAATAATATCCTGGAAAGACCTGAAGATCTGAGAACGAAGTGTATTGGTGGGAGAGAATTCCAAGCCGAGAAGAAGGCTGGGCAAAGGCCCTGAGGTCAGAAAGAGCTTGATGTGCTCAGGGAACAGACAGATGGCTGGTGTTGGCAGGAACCTAATAGGATGGAGGGAGAAGAAGGCAGAGGCTGGGCTGTTGGAAGCCTCACAGGCCACGGCACCAAATTTCAATTTTATTCTAAGGCCACAGGAAGTCTTTGGAGGGTTGTAAGCTGGAGAGTACTTTAGTCCGATTTTCACTTCTAAAAGATCACTGGGCTCCTCTGTAAAAGACCAGCAGGAGGCCAGTTGGAGGGTAGTGATGGTCATTCCTGGGAGAGGCAATGGTGGCTTGGACTAGGTGTGCCAGCAGGGGAGGGGACAGAGGTAGCTGGATTCAGGTGGGGCCGTGGGGACATGACAGATTTTATCTGCAGGTGTTCCCTGGGTGTTTACCATGGATACACTCTGCCTGCAATTTCTGCTCTTCTGTCATGGGAGGAGGAAGGAACCTTAGGGCATACAGTCCGTCTACCTACCTTCTTCTCCATATGTGAGGCTGTGTTTATCACTTCCTTCTAAATCCAGGAGGCAAGATGAGGAAATATATTTCTCTTGGCTCCAAATGCAAAGCAAAAGCAAAATCTCTTCTCAACACTACCCTTCTTCCTTTGATTTTTGTCACTGACAACAGCGCCCTGTTCTTCCATGTGTGTGGGGGGAAGAAAGATAAGAGGCTCTGCCCTGGGTTTCAGTCTTTGCCCTATGGTGCCTCTTGGGTGTGGATCAGACACATATGTAAATGCCATGGGTGTCGGCCTAGCAGAGCACGAAAAAGGTTGCCATCTGGCTCTGCTCCACTTCCAACCCGTGTCTTTGTATAGTTTTTAGACGGGGACGGGAGAATTCCATCTTTCTAGGCTGGCATTGTCCGATAGAACTTTTCTCGATGGCGGAAATGTTCTCTATCTGAGCTGTCCATTACCGTGGCCACTGGCCACTTGTGGCTATACACCAATTGACATGTGCAGCTGAGAAACCAAATTTTCAATTTTGCTTAAGGTTTGTGTTGGACAGCACAATGCTAGACCGCAAGTGATTACCCACTGGACCTCTGTTTTTTGGCAGCTGACTGGAGATCCTGCTGAAATTCTGTAGCACGTTATGGAAGGGCGGGATCTTAGTGAGTGGTCACTTGTCATAGTTCCCCTCAATTTGCAGAGAGAGGCACCGAGGATTAAATGATTTGCCTGGCGTTTCTCAGCTCGGGAGTGGAAGACAGGAACCCATCGTCATGTTAATTTTCACAGGTTTCCAGAAATGCATTCTTCCTATAACATTGTGAATAAATTTTAAATTCCTCTGACCACCTTCTCAATCTTGGTCTCCCCCTCCATCCTTAGAACTGATCACGGTGTGGTCAGTTTGGAGTTCATCCTTCTGCATCTTTTCCTATTCCATGTACGTGTATATAAATGGGTGGATTGAAAACATTCAGCATGTTTAGAATAAGTTTTATCACACTATCCATATTTTTCTACAAATTGCTTTTCTCTTTCAACAGTATGGCTTAGATCTTTCTGGATCCATCCAGAGATCGCAACCTTATATATATTTGTAATTGCTGCAGTCTTTCATGGCCTGGTGGTGTCATAGTGCTCATAAGCCTATTATATGACTAATTGTTTATTGTTCCTTATTTTTATAGTAAACATGCTTGTGCCTATCTCCTGCATGCCAATATTTCTCCTAGAAATATTGAGAGATGAAATTACTGGGTCATAGGGAATATGTATTTTTAATTTTAGCAGTTGTTACTCTAATACTCGTTAACATGGTTATACCAGTTTATATCCTATCAGCTGCATGACAGTGCCTGTGTCTCCATAGGCTGCAAAATGCCTGATATGATCAAATATTTACATGTGTGCCAACCTAACAGGTGAAAAATGGATCTCATGGTTGTTTAATTTGCATTTTCCCATTTGTAAGTCAAATTGAACATCTTTACTATGCTATTTGTTTTTCTATGAATTGCCTGTTCAAATCTCTTGCTCATTTTTTCTGTTGGATAGTTTTATTAATTCACTAGAGGCCTTGTGAAGGAAAATTTATGCACTGGAGGGGGCGTCCCTCAGCCGGCCTGCTCTCTCTCAGAGTCCGGGAGCCCTCAGGGGCGGGAGGCGACCCAGCGATCAGGGGAAGGCAACGCCCCCATCACACCTCCACTGCTGCCACTGCCGGCAGCGCAAGCCTCGGCTGGCCCTGGGCTGCTGGGCAGCCTCCATCTGAGGCTTGCCTGTGCCTCGGGCTGGCCCTGGGGCAACTGGGGGGCTGAGGGCAGATCCAGCTGCACCATGTGCCTGCCACCCCCTTCTCCCCCGCAGCGGGGCTGAAAGGACTGGGGGGCTCTGGCAGGGCTGAGGGGTCTGGGCGCCGCCATTTTTGTGACTGTGACGGTCAATTTGCATATTCCCTCTTTATTAGATAGGATTCAGCAAATATACACTAGGATGTACACCATATGCCCAGCATTACTTTAGATGCTAGGGATTTTGTGGCAAGTTGCAAAAACAGACATTCCTGCCCTCAAAGAGGTGGTAGTTAAGGTGTGGGGGAAAGGAATTGAGGAAATTCCTCTAAGCCAGTGGTTCTCAACCTTCTGGCCTTTTAAATACAGTTCCTCATGTTGTGACCCAACCATAAAATTATTTTTGTTGCTACTTCATAACTGTAATGTTGCTACTGTTATGAATTGTAATGTAAATATCTGATATGCAGGATGGTCTTAGGCAACCCCCGTGAAAGGGTCGTTTGACCGCCAAAGGGGTCGCGACCCACAGGTTGAGAACCGCTGCTCTAAGCGAAAGGAACTGAGGAAATGTATCCTTTGTCAGAAGGGACGAGGAGAAGCAGAAGGAGATAGGGAGAGACTCGGGGTAGGACTTGGCATTCAATAGGACACCTGGGAATCTCATCCTTGACTTACTCACCTGTAGGCATTCTTGATACAATCTTTGTCCTAGTCCTTTGTCCTATGTGGTACATATTTTCTTCCAGTCTTTCGTTTTCTTTGGTCTTAGATGATGGTACTTTTGCCTTGCTCATTCTTTTTATTTATTTATTACAAAATCAAACTTGTTGATTGCAATCAGGCATTGACAAGTGAAAGTTCCTTCTTCTCAGACAACCGTTGTCAAGAGGTGTGTCTCCTCTGATTATTTCTATCCTCACTGCCATGCCACACTCCCGCTCCCAGCCCCCGTCCGCCGCTAAAGCATATTTTTTGGCTCTTTCTTAGTAAGTGTAGTTTATTGATGCAGTCCCCTCTGGCTGGACTCAACGTTGCTTCCAGACCTCCATCCCTCGAGATGAGACAGTGATCCTATGCTCTCTCTATGGCCCAGGAGTTTCTTGGATCCTTTTGTTTATTGGACCCCAGCCTCCGCACCCTGCACATCAGTGGAGCTGCCATAACCTGATTCTGTGTTCTCTCCCCCAGCTGCATGGCTACATGGAGAACAAGCCGCTGGGGCTTCAGATCTTCATCGGGACGGCCGACGAGCGGATCCTTAAGCCCCACGCCTTCTACCAGGTGCACCGGATCACGGGAAAAACCGTCACCACCACCAGCTATGAGAAGATCGTCGGCAACACCAAAGTCCTGGAGATCCCGCTGGAGCCAAAAAACAACATGAGGGCGACGTAAGGGCTGGGGCTGAGGGCGGTGGGTCCGAGTGGCAGGGGTTTGGGAGAAGGGTCTCCCTGGAGTAGTGGAGGAGCGGGGAATGGTGGTTCCCAGTCTGTGATGGACCCAGAGAGATGACTGTTTTAAAGTTTCCGTTTTAAAAGTGCGTTACCTACATGTTTTTCATGTATTACTTAGGCATCTTTGGGTTCTGTTGGTTGGGATGAGACTAAATTCATTGACATTAAAAATTCTATTTGACCTAAAGAAAATTATTAAGTCATGATAGGTCAAAACTCACTAGGTCATTTGCGTGTGGCTAAAATTTGGGGACCATTGTACCTATGTATTAGAGTTGAAAAATCTTTTTATTAGAAATAAATCTCAAACGTACAGGAAAACTGCAAGAAACAGAGAACTCTCTCCAGCATACTGTTCACTCAGATTTGCCAGTTGTTAACCGTTTTCGTATTTGCTTGATCACTCTCCATTTTTTCCTGAAATTAGTTGCAGAAATCATGCCTTTTGACTTTTTAAATACGTCCCCATCCATATCCTTAGACCAAGAATGCATTCTTTTTAAAAAAATATATTTTATTGATTTTTTACATAGAGGAAGGGAGAGAGATAGAGAGTTAGAAACATCGATGAGAGAGAAACATCGATCAGCTGCCTCCTGCACACTCCCTACTGGGGATGTGCCCGCAACCAAGGCACATGCCCTTGACCGGAATCGAACCGGGGACCTTTCAGTCCGCAGGCTGACGCTCTATCCACTGAGCCAAACCGGTTTCGGCAAGAATGCATTCCTCTGTGGCCACAGCGCATTTATCAAATTCAAGGTGTTAACGTTGATACACCGCTGTTCTCTATTGGATCGTCCAGAAGCAGTTTCGCCAGTGGCGTGTTTGAGTTTTCCAGATGCTTTTGAGAGTCGAAAAGTTGGCATGAAAAAATCTCACTAGAGAAGTCATTTCCCCCGGGGAGTTTCTCTAATTGCTTTATAAGTGTTTTACTCCCCTCTCGGTAATACCCTCTTTATACCGAGAGAAATCCCTGGCTGAAATACGTATCAGTGTGTTGCAGTTCCTTCCCGTGTCTGGCTGTGGGGTTATTTGGCTTCCTGGCGAAGGTGGCTTTGTGGGGGATCTTTCCTGCTCGCTAAGATGGCTGGCTGTAAATGGGGTTCTCGTCCTCGGGCAGCATCGACTGTGCGGGCATCCTGAAGCTGAGGAACGCTGACATCGAGCTGCGCAAAGGCGAGACGGACATCGGCAGGAAGAACACGCGGGTGAGGCTGGTGTTCCGGGTGCACATTCCCGAGGCCAGTGGGAGGATCGTCTCCCTGCAGACGGCGTCGAACCCCATCGAGTGCTGTAAGTGGGGCTCTGGGCAGGGCCGGTTTTTGGAGTGGACTGTATGTGACACCCCCGCCCCCGCCCCCGCCCCACCGCAAGGCACCCTGGGCCAGGTACCCCGCAAAGGTCACAGGACCCACAAGGATCAAGAGTGGGCCCCAGATGACCCAAGGGGCCGGAGCCAGACACATTTAAGGGCTTCTGTCTGCTTCGATTTACTTGTGGAGGGTTTTGCGGCCTCACAGGAAATTAAGAAATAATACCGCTAACGAGTCGCCCACAGCTTTGCTTAGAAGATCGGAGATGTATAAATGTTCTGGTTTTCAAAACGGTTAGATGGCGTTGGAGTGAGTTCACCGTACACCGCGTCCTCTTTCTTTTCCTCTGTCTTTCTTTCAATAAGAATAACGGTGATATGACAGTGGCTCTTCCTACAGCCGTCCTTGGTGATGGCGGGTGTCACCGTGCACATTTCACAGAAGAGGAGGGAGAGGAGGGGGTAGGGCAACACAACCCCAAAGTGGCAGGGTGGCGCTTGAACGGGAGCTTTGGCACCCAGGAGCCATGCTGCCCCGTCACCCTCAGCCCGTCCCTGTGCGTTTACTGAGAATCCACTGATGTCCCGTGCGGTGCTGGCATCCTGCAAATGAGCAAGAGGTTTTCTCTGTCCTCAACAAGCTGACATTCCGGTGGCTGTAAAGATGCCCAAGCAAAGAGGCAGGAGGCGGTCAGAGTCCAGTGTGCCGCGGCCGAGCTCTGCCACGTGGAAGGGCTCCGGGCAGAACCCTGGCTCGTTTCTACCAGGCTTTGAGAGAGGCGGCCACTTTGAGCTCATTCTTAGGCACTTCCTGCCAGTTTTGTTGTTGGTTTTGCAATTAGATGGGACAAAGCTTATTGTTTGGTCAGTTGTTGAGAGTTCAGAAATCATCTTTAAAAGCATAAAGAACAAACAAAGTAACCATTTTTTCAGAAACAAAGGCTGTTTATATTATTTTTTTTAGCCTCTTCTAAGAATATTTTTTATGTTGTTGTAATCATGTTCTATATTCAGTTACGTTTCAGGACTTTTCCTTGGGCATTTTACCATATCTGGGGGGTCAAAAAAACCGGTTTTCTACAGAAGCCAGGGGGGTAATGGAAATGAGTCAAGGGTGTTGGGTGGGCAACAACCGGGAGGGGTGGGGACCGGGGACCAGAATGGCGCTTCCCATCTAAATAGACTGCTGTCACGAGACTCCGGCCAGAATGTCCATGTGGGACTGTGACGCAGTGTGGCCACGTCGTCCGACTTTTTAAGATAAACCGAAGTCTCCTGATTTTTAAAAAGCAGCAACAAATTCAAAATCCTTTATGGATCAGATAAAACCTGCGGTGCGGGGCTTTGATTAATCATAGGCAGTCTTAATCAGACACTAATGAATAAAGGGCAAGCATGAATATTTTATGCAGAAAGGGCTGAGGAAGACTAGCCCTTAGGAGGAGAAGCCAGCAAGGAGAGAGGCTGGGCCCTCTGCAAGAGAGAAGCCAGCCCTTGGTCCTGGTTGGCCTTTGGAAAGAGATGAAAGAGCCCCCCGATTTCTTCCAGCCCTGGGGAGGGGAGGGGAGTCGAGATGAGGAACGGGCCGAATGTGGTGGTGAGTCCGTGCTCTGATGCTAGAAGACAGACCCAGCAGGAGGCCACAAGGGAAGACAAGTGTTGACAAACATATCTCAGAAACATTGGAATTCCCCTTCTTGCCCAGCAGCCCCAACCCCTGTCCTCGGAGTGCTAGTCATGGTGACTGCCTGGCCCCTCCACTCCCCCCACCCCCACCCTGCCGCCCCGCTTTCGAACATCCGAAGATGTTTTGGGAAGGAAACTCAGGCTCTTCCTCTGTGATTTGTGGGGTTTTGAGAAGATAAGGACTCCCCTTTCTGGCAAGTGACTCACGGTTCTGGATGGGGCTGTGGTTAGTAGCAAGGTGGGAAACAGGAGGCCTCGGGGAGGGCCACACACAGGGTCCCTCCAGTCAACTTATCTCCTGCTGATCTGAGACTTTCCCGATCATCACCCAACCACAAGCACCTCCCGCGAGATCTTCCGGGCATGATGAAGTTGTTTGCACCGCGAATGTCGGTCGTTTTTCTTTTCTTTTAAGAAAGCATTTGGCTGATTCGACGGCCTTGCTTTGAGAGATAAGGAACCAGACTTTCTTGGTAAAGTGATTCACTCGTTTTTATTCAGAGGGAGCAAATCCAGAGTCTCCCGCTTCCCCCTCTATGACATACCTTCTTCCATTGGTTGCTATGACAGCACTCTATCGTGCAACGCCAAGTTGAGCTACCAATTGGCCACTATCCCTCTCACCACCCAGAATTTTTTGATATTTTTATTTCCTTCTTTGTTCTAAAATCCTAGACCAATCCCTGGTAGTTTTATAAATATTTATGGACTAATTGACTTACCGTGTGAACCTTTGGGAGGAATTCCATAAATATTTATTGACAATTAGTCCATCACATGTATTGGCACAGTGTGTGTGCAAGAAGTATTAATTGACTGATTGACTTTGTGTGTAGCCCTTGGGGAGGGCGCGTAGGTAAGAAGAACACTCCATGGGCCGGGACCTATTTGCAAGGCTAAGTTATTTACTTTGGAGGTGCCTTTTATGTAACATCAGAGGGATTGAGGGTAAATTCTCAGATTCTGGTAGAAAAAAAAACTTGAACAGACTACTGGAGGCCACTGCCTGGAAGGTGGACCTCTTTGCCAGATGTGCCAAGTCCTTAGATGTACCTACAGGCCAGCGTGTCAGAGGTCAAGCCTCACCTTTGCATGGACGGGCGCCTCAGCTGTCTAGTCTGCTGTTTCCACGTCTTCCGTGTTGCCAAGGAGACACTTTTAGTTCCTCCCTTGTTCTCAGAAGAGTATTTTGAACCTGCTCCAGTCTTCTAAGCGCCGGACGCCGCCTTCACCCGTTCCCACTCCAGGCAGATAGCCGTGCCTCCCACGGTTCCAAGAACATGGGAGAGGTCAGAGGGGCACACCCTCATCTTCCCCAGCAACAAGCCACCCACAGATCGCAGCCCTGGCCTGTCCTCCTCCTCGCACTGGGCTCCTCTGTGTCCTCAGCTCCAGCTCCAAGTTCCCTGTGGGGGTTGAGCCCTTGCCTCCCTCTTGTCTGCGTGTCCCAGGGCTGACATGACCAACTGCCACCACTTGGGAGGCTTAAAACAACAAAAATTTATTCTGTCACAGACCTGGAGGCGGGAAGCCCAAAATCAAGGTGTAGGCAGGGTGGGTTCCTCCTGGCGGCTTTGAGAGAGAATCTGCTCCAGGCCTCGCTCCCAGCCCCTGAAGGTGGCCGGCAGCCGCTGGTGCTGCTTGGCTTGTAGCCGCATCACATGATCACCCCTGTTCACAGGGCCTTCTTCTCAGCGTCCTTTTCTGTCTCTCCCAAGGACACTCTCATGGGATGTAGGGCCACCTTAACCCGGACGGCTTCATGCCCGTCCTCACCTTAGTCACACCTTCAAAGACCCTCTTCACAAGAGGTCACATTCTGAGGTTCCGGGTGGGGGCTCTTCACCCACGACACCTCCTCTGCAGCATTCCTTGACTTCACTTTCCTCTCTGGTCCTCAGTTCCCGAACCCACTGGCATCCTTCTGTGACTTGCAGGCTTTCAATGACTGTGTCCCCTCCACCCAGAGCACTGGTCCTCAAACTTGGAGTCAGCTGGGGAGTTTAGAGAAAAACACGTGATGCCCAAATTCTACTGCAGAGCCCCTGAGTTGGTTGGTCTGCATGGAGACTTTCAGAAGGACCCGGGGATTCTGGGGGGCGGCAAAGTTTAAGACCCACTGACCTTGTTGCCCCCACCCACTCTGTGCCCCACCCCTCCTTCCATCAGTTGATTAACTCCTTCTTATCTGAGGTCCCTGGATGGATGGCCCCTTGAGGAGGAAGATTGTTCTGGTCTCAGAGGATAGGGCCCAGCAGGTGTTAGCCAGGGCCTGGCACATAGCAGCCGTCTCTAGAATGTTGGTCAAATAAAAAAATAAAAATGAAAGCATGAAAACAAGCAACTCCGGGCTGTCCGGCAGGAGAGAAAGGCAGCGATGAGCTGTAACAGAGACGGCCATAGTGCAGGTCCTTCCGTGAAAACCTCCCCGAGGGTCTCTGCAAAGGGGTCTCTGTGTTCATCGCTTTTCAGAAAACACCGAAAGCCATTTCCCACCAAGCCCCGCCCAGCACGTGAATCCACTCTCCGCATTTTGCAGGAATTGGGGGCAGGTCTGCGGCATGGACTAGAAAATGGATTTCTCCCTTGGTCTTTGAAGCTATCCACATAAGTACGTTTCGCTGTGGGTTAATGAAGGGACAATAAATTGCACAGGTTGTAAGGCTTCAGTTCAGTGGTTTTGGACAAATGTATGCCCCCGTGTAAACACCCCTCAATGCAAGACAGCATGTCCCCCACCCCTGAAAGTTCCCCGGTACCCGCGGTCAGTACCACTCCCCAGGCCCCCACGGCTCTGATTGCCATCAGCATAGATCGGCTCTCCCTGTTCTAGAACTTCATATAATGGGATTATGCAGTGTGCGCTCTCTGTGTGCGGCCGTCTGTGCTCAGCCCGATGCCTTTGTGATCCGTCGCTGTGACTGCGTGAACAGTACTGGATTGTATGAATGTAACAATTGTTTACTCACCCTTGACAGACATTTGTGTTGTTTCTGGGGTTTGAGTACGACAGATAAGGCTGCTATGAACAGGCTGGTTCAAGGCCTTTTGTGGACAAATGGTTTCATTTCTCTGAGGAAAGTGTATGCTTCAGTTTTTATATTTTCACTCTGTACAAGAGTGTGTGAGAGTTCCACGTCCTCCCTAATATTTGATTTTGATAGTATGTTTAATTGCAGCCATTCTAGTGAGTGTAAAATGGCATGTCCTTGTGCATAAGGCATAATTTGCATAATTTGAATTTCCCTAATGACTAATGATTCTGAGGGCCAATCCATGCACTTGTTGGCTGCCT